GATTATATAGTAAGTCCTTTAAAAACTCATAACAATTGCTTTTTAAAAAGGATCCCAGACATTGTTTGTCCTAAATGTTCCGAAATGAATGGGTAGGCCTACTTTTTGAAGCTTAACTTTAAGGATCTAGTAGTAAAAAGTTTAATGACTTTTCATCATTCATGCAGTTTATCATTGTTAATACATTACTATACTTGAGAGTTCAAAAATTATTCTCCCATGAAATAAGCCATATTTTTTTGTAACCACCCAAAATTTAATTGAATTATTTCACCTTATATTTTTGTGAATTTGATGGTTTTTGAGTTTTAATATCTTCAATTGTGATTTGGATATAGATTCCTATGGGTAAACTATTGATGTTACTGTAATTTTCCTAATATATTTTTTTGAGATGGAAGCCTTTTTAACAACATTTAGGCCTAAGTTTATCACTGTTGTTCCTTATTAAGAAATTTTGACAGTTAAGAATTTTTCCAATTATGTTTTTTATTTTACACTTTTTGTTCAAACCCTGGTAAAGATTAGAAATTTGAAATTGCAACTCGCAACTTGCACTTTCCAACTCGCAACTTGCAACTCCTAGAAAAGAAACCCTCCCGTATAATATGTATAATCACAGAAGGAATACAAACATCCCACAGCGATAAAGATGAGACAAAAATAACTCATGACTCCATCAATAACAAGATGTAGACCTATATTTCAAACTGTGTGGAAAACAGATGTACAGTCAAATGTATGTAGCAGCATTATACTACACACTCTATGGTTTCCGTAGACCAAGTTAAACAAAAAATTAACGCATTATATGGCTATCATAAGGCTGAGAAAAATAAGATTCATTAATTTATTAATCTGACCTAACTATTCATTTCTTAGTTTATTCATTTTAGGTCTACCGGTATATAAGTTGCAGACTTGGTAAATTAGACGACCCTGGGTAAGCTCAGAAGCACAATATATACAAAAGTTTTCAGTCTTATTGTTTATGTGGGTTTAATATCAATTCTTTTCAAAAAAATACTTCAAGCTTTTATCTCAACGTTTCCTGAAAATAATTGTTAACCAATTTTTTAAATGCACAGTACATCTGGAAAGTATATCTAATGGGGTTATTTTGTCTATTCTTAAAAACTTTATAGGATAATCAATTGTTATATTGTGAAGGATTTCTTTCTTTGCGATAGTTATTGTACCCAGTTCTATTATATGCAAGCTCTTCCCATGATATTTTAAGTCTATCCAATGATTGACATAACAAGGACCTCTCTGAACCTACCCTTTTATGGCTTTTTTAATGAATTTTCCATTAATATAAATAAATCTTAATAATATAGTGAAGAACTAGGCCTACTTAAAGTATTAGTTCCAACTGGTTGAAAAAGTTTAGTCTTTGTTATACAGTAAAATATAAAAAATACTATAAAAAAAAAATTGGTAAAAGGGTTTCAGGTTTACAAGAAGTTCAAAAGCCTAAATTTTAAGCTAAATTGATATTACTGAACAAGCTAATTTGTCTGGAGTCTAAGGGTATTAAACATCGGAGAGTCAAGTGCCAGAGCGGTAAGGCAGGGGCGCCTTTATCTACAACTTTAACAATGGCGCTCACTTTAGGCGCTCCTTGCATAGTGTTTGGTTGGTAGAGGTAGAACCAAGTCTTCTCAGATAAGGACTTAAAGTGGAGGTTCAGTTTACACATCTGGCTTGTATGCACTTTAAAGAATGATGTGAACATGAAGTTAGTTTAAGTGCCCCTTTACAGTGCCTAGGTAGTCATGGACCACGCCCATACGCAATTCAGCACATTGAAGCTGCGGGCTATGGGTTATGCTACTACCTTTACCTTTAAATTCAATGATTCATTTATTCATTCTTTCATTCAAACTAACACTCATTCATTCATTCATTTAAAATTCACTCTTCTGGGGGCCATAAGTAAATGAAGCACATTTTTTTATTTACAAATCAGATCGGTCTACATTTGTGTAGAAATAAAATCACCAAAAAAAATGTTTTCATCGGCAATCAACATTCCTTCTTTTCAAGAAAATTTACAAAAGGATAATGTGCTGAATCAGTGAATACACAACCTTTAAAACTGCGATTAAATCTTTTCATGACTCAAGGCCTTAAACAAAATGTTACTTGAAGACATCAGAAGCTAAAGTATGGGAAATACAGGAAAAAAAATCAGTATTCAACTAAACTGTAAATTAACTCAAAGAAAATGACTTTGAGTGGGTTTAACTTCAATCTAAAAAACCTTGATTTAAAAGTAATGAAAAGAGCTCAAAAACATTTTATTTCTCTAGTGAATTCCTTTACAACAATAACCACTGCAAACAATGAGCCTATTAAGTTTACTGGAGTAAGAATGTCTACAGACAATAGTGGTAAGGTACCCAGCGGCACCCTTTATTAGAAGAAGTCTTAGGAAACAGACAATCTTTAGTAGCACGGTGGTTGATTCTAATGACTTCCTCAATACTTAATTTAATCAGGTTCTTCGTCTGTGTTCTTTCGGGACTACACTTTGTATGACCCGAAATATGTATAAAGAACAAAGGGATACATCATCCCTAAAAGATGCTTTTACCAGAAATTAATTTAATTAATAAACTTTCATTAGATTAATGAAAATAAGTTTGGTTATGGTATAGTAATTTGGTTATGTTTAATAACAATAGTATTCTCGTACACACAGTGGAAACATTTTTAGTATTAAATTGTATGACAAACAAAGGATATATCATACCTAAAAGATAGTTTTACCAGAAATTAACTTATTTTAAAAATTTATTATATTAATTAAAGTAAGTTTCGGCACCAACTAGTGACCTTTTTATTAGCCTCAAATTTACTCCTGAAATTTAAAATGTTGCATCAACTGTAATTCAGGGGGAGGGGGGTGCAAAACGACCTGGGGTTGCAAAAGTTTAGAATGCCGAACTAGGTTCCCATTCCAATGTGAACGTACTAACGTACTGGTCATATTAAGTAGCCCACTGTAAATAAATTTTGCTATTTGGTGACAACTGCCTTAGGTTGTTTCCAGGTATAGTTCATTTGTGTTGTATCATTTTAGTTTGTTGGCATCATCTTAACATAAGTACAGGATGTGTGTTAGACAGTTGGATGGGAGTTGTCTTTCTCATCACCCAAACAACCCATCATAAATGAGAACCACAATGATGCTCACACTTCCGTTAATTCAATGCCAGATACACCTACGAACATTAATGTAGCTAGGACCAATTATGGTAGTACAGTGAGTAATCGCAAAACCAGACCTAGAACTGTGGTGGTTTTTATCTTGAGAAAAAATTTATAAAACAAGGAAACTTCTTTCCCTTTATAAGAAAAACAGGATGATAATCATTTTTATTTGTCCTTTATCTAGTTAAAGGTTATATGATTAAAAATACAGATTAAACAAAGTTAAAAAAAAAATCCAAGGCCTTTAATAATATGAGTCAGACTTAACCCTTTTCCCTCAAAGTGCACATAGGGTAATTAAATGCATCCTTATTGAAGTTCATTGGCCCAGTGCAGTAATGTATAACTCCCTCTCTTAAGCCCCAAACTCCATCATTAGCCCACCTCATATGTAATAGCTGAACTTTACAAGGCAATCAGGCGATCGCTCTTGCAATGGTCCATTTAATGTAGGCATCAGTTTAAATTTCTAACTGTCAGAATCATAATAATGATAGATACAGTGGTGATTGAATAGATTTCTGGTTTTAAAAAAAAGGTTATCATTTAAAAAAAATACCGTCTCTGGAAAAAGTCTAAAAACCCCCAAAGCATGCAATTAAAAATTACAAAAAACCATTTTAAATAATAGGACCAAATTTTTTCCACCTTTTTCTCCAGTTTTCAAATATATTCTAAAATCTGTATCTCATTAACCACTTCTGAGTTTTCATCCAAAATCAGTTATACAAATTATCAATTATTGTTTTTCATGCGTAGCATGGCTTTAAGTTTTCCTGAGTCCTTTTCAGACTTTCTCACAATTTCATATAAACACAAGATAGCGTTCTCCGTGATTTCCATGTGCAAATTCTGTAATAACGAAGTGTACGGTGCCCTCTTGCAAAAATGAAAACTTTGACTTTACACGATTTTACGTTTACGCGTAACAATTAGAAGCGTCCGACTTATAATGCACCCTATCTTTAGAACATAAGGAACAAATTAACGTACTTAGTAACGAACTTCGGCGTAACGCGAACACCCTATCTCAGATCCATGGCAATGACCAGGACGCCCTCTCCCAAAACTGATTACTCTTCTGTGCCAGATCGACGCTTTTATTTGTTAAGCGTAAAATTGCGGAGAATGCCATCTTGTGTTTATAAGATCTTTGATATATGGTACTTGTACTGCTGACATACTACCATTTAAGCATATATACCAATAAGTTTGTGGTACTCATAAGCTAGAATCATATACAGCACCAATTGCATCAAGAATATTAAAGTAATATTGCTAAGGTTCCACATGCTTGTATGGAGTCTGCATAGTGCTGGCATTTATTCACAAACCACATGTCAGCACTTTTTTCAGCAATATTGCAGTAAATATAGCATGTCTGAAAGAGGTGCAAAGTGATCACTGGGTTGACAGTGGCAGTTCTCAGAATTTGAAAAAGAGGAGTCCACTGAGGTATTGCCGGGTCCAGTCTAGCTCTGCCACAGACGGTTGGGCTGAGGTATACCGGGTCCAGTCTACCTCTGCTCCTGATGGTTGGGTTGAGGTACACCGGGTCCAGTCTACCTCTGCCCCAGACGGTTGGGCTGAGGTACATTTAGACAGCAGAAATAACACTCTCAGACTTTACTTTTAATTTTTTTTCCCTTTTTTTTCTTTTTCATTTACTTTTCAAACAATTAAAGGACCTGGGCTGGTGGGGTCCTCTTAAACCTCCCACTGGTCAAACACCTTTGTTAAAAATATTTAAAATGTTATAAATAAGTAAAATGTGAATTTACCGGCATCCGTAACAGAGAAGAAGAAGATGTCGCTGGTTGCATCACTGCCCTGGTTTATCATGTACTGGATCACCATGTCATTAACATTTTCTGTGGAAGATGAAAAATAGACAGTTGTTAGATACAATATTAGTAGATATGCACTGACCAATACAACTAAGTGTATCTAAAAGTAAACAAAACTTATCTGAATTTAGGTAAACAAAGATAGAGAGCTCTCTGGGTTGTCCATAATAAGGACCAATAACAAATTGCTTGAAATAAAAACAAAATACTGGTAAAACTAATTCAATAATCATTCATGAATAACCAAAACATTAATGGATAGGCCTGTAATTATAAAAATAATATCTTTAGGTCTATATATTCAATAGAATGATAAAATGGTTTATTTGTTAAAATATAATAATAATTTTTTGAAGAGTACTCTACTAATGGTATGTTTTAAGTAAAAATTACTGGATAGTCTACTTTAACTTAATATTGAAGTGTAAAAATTGGTTTCTTCATGTTAAGAAACATACATTTTAACGAACAACAAAGGCTGTCACAATAAAACCATTACACAACCACCTAATTTTAGTATCCCATAATTCTGTCTTAACAGCAGACCAGGGAACAACTTCTGGATGTTAAAGGTCAGGTTACCGGTCAAGTTACCCCATTCAACTATTCTGTACAATAACAAAACTATACATAAATCCTGCTGGTTACAACCACCAGAAATCTGCACAAACTGACCTCAATGCCTACTGGCCATCCCCTCAAGAGGAACCCTAACAAATAGGCCTAGACAGCAGACAAAAAAATAACAATACTGTGTTCTTCAAAAATTCAGTACCTTAATTAAGGTAGCGAATCGGGCTGTTAATGGTGCCCTGAGGTTGATGAAGTTTATAGGTTTGCTTTAGTATTTTAGGAGAATCTAAGTTATTAAAAGAATTGTAAATATTTGTTTTCACTGAGCAATTTGTTTGAGCATGGAAGAATTAATGCTTTGAGTAATAATTAACCATGCCCTTGGTAGCAACTTCTTTAAAATGAGTCAAAAAGTTAGTTCATAATCATAGGCAGTAACCACAGGGTGCCTTTCTGTGAACTAACAATAATAATACTTTTAAAGTATATGGAGGTAAATTAATGTAATGGCCTTCTTGATAGAGTAATGTAGGTTATGAGACATTATAGCAATTTATATTTGGTTAGACAGGGAAATTTGTGAGCAATAGATAATGTAAATTTATCTGTGTAATACCATTGGCTCTCTTGACCATTAAAGGAGAATGCATTCACCAATTTTAATGATATTTTTCCTAAAAGGTCTGCCAAGTGTAGTGTACTTGGAGGTTATAGTGTTATATAGGCCTACTCTACAGAATGTGCTAACTGCTCATTCCTATAGTAGCAGTACAAAAAATAGGATCTGTGTTATTATCAACTAATATTTTCTACAATTCTCTATTCCTAATTTTAATTTTGTTTGAATATGTATATAAATATGTTCCACACAAAAAAAAACTGGTTTGTTAATATCAGGGCTGATGTGAGTGCCTAAACATGCAACATATTTTTCAGACAACTATTTGGATTTGGATGCATATCAAGCTCTTATTGTTTTTATTCATTTAGGAATGTGAATCACCCATCTAATTTGTATACAACACCTTTCTTACTGCAGGATAAGTCACTGTATTTGTACACACAAAAACCCTCTATACATCCAGACACAACTTTAGCCCACTTTTTTGATTTTCATAAATAGAAATCATACGTAATCTATTAACATTTGGCAGGTGGATTGGATGTGACATTCAGCCGTTGTTGACTTCACCAAGGTACGTCATGAACTTAGGTGCCAGTTAAAATCATTCTATTTATTTTCCTTACAAATCTGTTTCCCATTCCGCAACATGTGGCAACCGTTTCCCCCTATATTTGACCTGAATTAACTTCTTTCTATATCTCCATGTAGGTATTGTTCTTTTAGTAGTATCTCACACCTACAAGCTTGAGTTTGCCGTGAGAGTTTTTATAATGGCTTCATTTACTTTTCCAAGAGATTTCCAAAAAATTAATAGAAAATTTTTAAAATATGCACTTATTATTTGATTATTATTAATGAGACATTCCTGTTTTAATTGACTTTATCACAGTGACTAGGCCTCTTGAAATCATATCTTATAGAAAGCCCACTAATTTACTGATAACTTGCTCTAATCTACATTTGTTACTTTTTGTCTCTGAATTGTTTATTCCTAATATACTTTCTTATCATACCTATTTTGCCCTGATTGCATAATTGCCTCATTTAAATAAATGCATATTAATTAGGATTTATGGTAACTTGTATTGTATAGGCCTATAGTAAGTTTCTTTGAGTTAACAACTCCCTGCTTTTAGTGTATTATTCCTGATGGTGCTTAAATAAAAGCGAGACCTCCGGTGAATCGTAGAATAAAATGGACTTGTCAATTTTGGAGTGACATTCATATCATTTCCACTAATGTAGAATTTACCCTTTTTTACACTATAAAAGTTACATATGTTAAAAGCTCACTGGGAGACCCCTTTTATTGGCATATCAATGTTATTATAAGCCAGTTAGAATCCGACCTCTAACCTTCCTTACACATGCTGACAACTTGAAGTACAAACAGTACAACTTTTGACCATACTCAAGTTTTTTTTTTAAGCAAATAGAGCTCGCTCTTCTACATGATTTGTTGGGCATAGATCAATAGATTTTAGGGTTAAATTAGTATTTGTATAGGTCTTACCTTGCCGATTGATTGCTTTCTCATTACTTTAATGTAAATTCTGCTATGGATGGGTCACAAAAAGAGAGAATATGTGAACTCAATACCAGAAATATAATCAAGTAACATTTTTAGGCCAAATAAAAAAGAAATTATGTTTCTCATCGAAGATTTTATTGATTTTCTAACATTTACATCATTTTAGAATTAAAGCAACAACGCATACTAAGCCTAAGTTACACTGACAAATATGTTCTTTTTAATTTGGCCTTTAAATTATTGAGTTCATTTAATAATAATAAATAAGTTTGTACAATTATGATGGTGATAAGTATTTGATTCATGGTGCTTGATTTTGAAGCTCAGTCCAGAATAATTTTTTTTACAACATACGACCATATATAGTCATGATATGCTTATATGTGGTCATGTGATGTTATCATCACCATATTTAGCCATGTCACATGTTTTTTTTCTCAAATAAAAATTTTGACAGGGTTTTATACTAAAATAGACTTTTTTGTCATTATTTTTAGTATATATATATTAACTATATGCCTTAGAACTCAAGTTTGTACAAATAGAAATTTCACAGCAAAGAGGAACCAGTATTTTCAAGTATATTTAATCAGAAGTACCACCATCATAGCATGATCCCAAACCTGTAAGTGGAGCCCATGGAGATATATATTGTACCAATTATCCGGCAGACTTCACTGATAACGCAAGGCAACTGACCTACGCTTAATAGAATGTTCAAACCAAGTGAACCCAAGAACATAAATAATTCTGCAGACTCGAGGAGGCTTTCATGAAGTCATTCTGTCTTAATAAATTTGTTTGAATAAAAATAATACAGTAATCAAATACTATGCCTACCATAGCAATAACTAAGGGCTTGGGCATAATTATTATCAGCTTGATGTAAATATCATTTTGGGAATTTGAGTGATACAATCTACAAATCAGTGAAAATATTTAAAAGTGAATCTCTTATTTTGGCAGATTTAAGCTGATGGATTATATTTGGGATTAGGACATTGAAGGAGGATAAATCTGGTGTGGAGATACAACATCAATTTGCTCATCATCACTTATGCTACTTGTGAGCAGAAGGCCGGACAGGATGGATGGAAGGAGGAATGTGAGATGCAGGTTGTGTGATTGAAATAATAGCATGTAATGGCCTTCACCTCAAAAACTTAGCTAGCTTAGCCTACTGTATTCCCATGTCCCTCTTGTTCTATGATTTTCTTCTACAAATTTCACCCCTATTTTTTGTATATTATTCATCTAACAGTTGAAATGAATATGCTTAAAACAAACAATTTTTATTTCTTTTTTATTAGTAATGAAGTAAGAAATAAATCATGTTAATAACATTTCATGAGTGGATTTCCCGCACGATTAAAACTCATCACGGTACTAGGTTTGGTCTATAGGAGTTCGTGCTTCGAACAGGTCATTCCACTCTTAAAAGAAGCCTTTTAATGGAGAAAGTGTACCTTTTTTAGCAAGGTTTGCGTAGGTTGGAACTAACTCCAGCTATATTTATTAATATTTATTTATTAGGTGAATCTTTAAATGATTTATCTCACTTCTGCCTGTAAAATCGTATAGGTCTTCACATTATGCATTATGTAAAAAAAAACCACAATAACAGTAATAATGGCATTATTATTATTATTTTATTACTTTATTGTTTTTTGCTCTTTTTTTGTAATTCATTGTAAAGCACTAGTGACAACTTCGGCTCAACCGGTGCTATATAAATTTTAAAATAAATAAATAAATAAATAAATAAATAAATAAATAAATAAATAAATAAATAAATAAATAAATCTACAGTATCTATCTATCTATCTATGATACATAATACAAACACGTGAACACTTTGTTTTGAACGAATACCAGTACTTTATAAATTTTCAATATTATTAATAATTATATAGGCCTAATATTGAGATGACACTGAATTGGTAGAATACAACAGAAGCCACTACTGTTGGATTTGGGGTCTTATATACCAAATTACACAAAAATGTGAAATGTAAATATAACATAACCTGAAATTTTAAGACAGCTTTACAATGACAAGATATCACAGTGCTGTTGATTTGACTAATACTAACCAGCTATTTGCTAGTGAGAAAAAAAAAAGATAGAACAGTTTAATTTATTTCAATTGAATTACAAACCACCAATCCCATACACCCACATCGTACCCAAGAGCATGGAACAAGTTGAATGGTGGGGATTTCTATTGTAATTAGAATCCTATTATAATTAGATTCAATGACATCAAACTAAAGTTTTACTTGAGCTAAAGATATT